ATGCTCCTGAGCCTATGGTGACTCTGGAGTTCGAAATTGCTAACGAAAAATTCAGAGAGACGCGAATTCCTTAAGGATACGGACATAACAGTGGAAATAGGTGCGCGCTTGTCTACATAATTTGCAATATTCTTGAGCGTGTGTCAATTGCGCATATATATCGCCCTGCCCTTGTGACCCTACCCTAGGAGCGAGATTTTTTTTCTCCTAAAAAATCCCAGAGAGTTTTTTTCACTGTTCTACCTTATCGGCTCATGCCACCGGGCCTCAACACTACGTTGAGATACTATTTTCTGATGTTGTAACTTACCAGACTAACAGCCCAGTTACTAGCTAAAAGGCCCAGACAGGTCTTTCGCCGTTAGTCTGCTGCTGCTTGACACAGCTGCGAGGGATCGGATCATCAATGGGTCCCCCAACTTTCTCCGTTTGCTTTCTGGTTGATATACCATTTTGGAAAGTTTAGCTTTTTAATTTACCTAGAAATTAATTTCTGTTCGCGGCATACATCAATATATTAAAGGTCTGTAGGCACGAACCTAAATTGTAAGTTTATATTTGGGCTGAAACCTGTAAACCACTACGTACTATACACCTGCTGTCAACGGACATACTTTAGTAGTAAAAACTGATGTTGTAACTTGCCACAGCCCACCTACTAGCTTAAAGGTGCAGATACTATACGTGATATCACAAAATGCATGTACAAAAGAGGTGTTTAATGGTAACCCACCTACATTTCTCTCAAATATAATGACAATAATAACGATTCACTAAACTGATTCTATTTTTTATACGTTTATCCTACGACAATAACAGTTGCTATGTTCACTATTTGGTAGAACAAGCATATAAATTACTTGAGAAGTAAATTTGGCAAAGTTGGAGAAGTAAGTTGGTATCCGGTAGACAACCTGAAAGGCTTTGTTAGTATCGACTCGATGATTCGTATCGACAAGATGTGCGAGAATGGAACTCCAGATCGATCTAGTTTCACCTTTACTTAACCAGGCCGATATGTGCTCACGTACCCTCTTTTCCAGGCGCCTTTTTTTCAGCCGATGTATCCCGCCCCACAGGAGCAAGTAAAAGAGTAAATGCACATGGATGTGGCCTTCAACGGCAGTCGGTCTTTACCTCCCAATCGTGGGAGGAGAGAGAGTTTGTGAAGAGCACCCCTAAGTTCGCCGCTGGGAAAGCGCCTGCGATTTCAGTCCTCAGGCGTCGTCTGACCAGCTCGCTTGTTGCATCGCCTACGAAAGGCAGTCTAATGAACATGTCTAACTGTACAGTCTAATTGTACAGTATTAATTACCCCTGCAAATGTGTGGCCTGATAATGATTTGCTGAAAACACC